ATGGCAAATAGTTAATAAAATTATTATTTAAAAAAAGCACTATTTTTTTCAGGAGGTCCATTTTACCCACCTGGTTCCTTTTGCCCTACCCTCTCCTATATCTTCCTCTGGATTATTGTTGCCGTTATGAAAAATTTAATGAGAATACGATGGAAGTATTTCATTAAGGATGAATTCACCTTAAAAATTATGCCCGGAGATTATTCAAATCTTATTGAATACTGAATTATCTTTCGACAATTTCTCCTGAAAACACTCCAAAAGATGAATGCAGAATTAGGAAAAAAGGTTTATCCGTTGACTGCAAAAATAATTGATAAAAATTCACGTCGTTCTCCGAAAAATATATTCACGTATTTTCTCTCTCAGTTCTCCTGATGAATGTACATTAGATTGAGGATAGCATGCAAAATGTGAGGAATCCGCTACAAAGAAAACATTCATCACGCGCGTGCTACGTGAAAGTAGAAAATAAGGTTTCAGGGATAAAATTGTGTGGGATATCAATGAGAATGGAATACAATGTGTGTACCATCCTCCGTATCGCAATGAACGCTTGGATCGGCCTGGCAGCGAACATCTCTTACGCACCGGTGAACTCGTCACACGCTTCGTCGATCAACAGGATACCGAATGTGTTTTTAATCCCATGGTTTTTTTATTCAGCAAGAAATATGATTTATTGGCTAGTTTTCAATTCAAAGTGTGAAAGGAAAATTCGCAGTTGTGTAATTTCTGGATTTCTCACTTCCTCTCTTGAGGGAGAAAACAATAATGCCATGATTTTCACTATTTTTTAGAGGAGACAAGTGGATAATTTCATTTTTGATAAATGAGTATAGTTATTGTTGCTAATAAGTTGGCCATTTGCTTCCGATAGGGTTCTCTTTTGTTTAACTCTCATTTTACTATTCTCTTCTTGCATTTTGTTCCCGAATGGAAGCTTTGTAATCGTTCGATCGTTACTAAATAAATGATTCAAACTTCTTAAAAGGGGATTTTCGATTACAAGAATAATTATCAATCTTCCTACCTCAATTATTGATTGATAAAATAGTTAAAAATTGGAATATTTGAATTGATGACACTTAAGTACTCAACAAATTTCAGAATGATGTTAACTAATTGATGGCTTCAATATTTAACGGTAATTAAATATTATGAATTTGGCTGTCCCTGTTTGAAGGTCTATATTCATGAAAAAAAATCATAAAATTCGATGGTCCTCTTACAGGAAAATTTCGAAAGAAAAAAATTGAACACATACACCATACATACACCGTCTAAAATCGTATATTCGGAATTTTCAGACCCTATTTAGTTACCCTAACACAAAAAATTAAAAACTTAAATTTGAACGATTACAAAACTTTCATTTGGAAGCAAATTTTCATTCTAAAATGTAATACTAGCAAGGAAGGATGTTTATCAGAATTCAGAAAACTTCTTTTTATTTTTATTGGGTAAATAGGAGGAAGGATCAAGCGAGAGAGACGGAAGGTTTTGTCATAAGGGTCGAAGAATCCTCTCTAGAAGGAAGCCATGGAAATTTCCTTCGAAATGAGAAGGAAATTTCCATGGCAGCCAAAAAATAATGAACTATTGAAGAAAAACTAATGGCTGATAAATTAAATCTGCAGGGGAATCAACAAAAATTTCAAGAGACATTTTTTTAAGTTTAATTTGCGAATTTTCTTTTGGCTGAATCCAACCATTTCAAAGATATTTACAAAATATGAAAGAATCTAACAACAATTTTCTCATGTCCGAATTTCCAAATCTCCGGAACTATTGGGTTTAGCGAAAAATGCTCAGCAAATTTTTGCAGAAAATTATCTTCTTGACAGAGAATTCTGTTGACATTCTTCTTTAAGGTGTTTCGAGTAAAAACTCAAAATAATGAAAAAAATTGAAAATTTCATGGGAGAAATATCTCAGTATGCTGCATCATTGAGAATTCTTGCACATTTTTTTCAGATCTCAGTCTCAAGAAAAAAAATTATGAAATTTGGATGTTTTTTTATCATTTTTATCATATTAAATTTCGTGTTAAGCGATTAAATCAGGGCTCGAGAACAATAAGACTCCCCTGTGATCTACAGGCGAAACCCCTTAAACGTAATTATCGATCAAGTGGAAGATGAGACGGGCGGAGTTATCATTGAATCGATTATATAGAAGACCTCTCCTGCCATTTAGGCAAAAAAATCCCCTGAAGTGCTTCAGAACATAAGTCATTTCATTTGTTTCTTTATTATTCTTGCAAAAGAGCATGTAATCCGTAGGTGTTCCACGAATACACGCTCCCAGTCACAAAGGGAAAGCACTTGCAGACACTTGTTCTTCTTTTTGTTGATCCTCGTGCCCCTGTGACAATCACCTCGCACTCCCACAGGCTGCTATTTAATCGTACCGTTACTAATCAACTGGAACCGGCTACACTTGTTCCATAAAGACCAAAAGAAGTGCGGAAATGACGAGGGACAAAAGATAAACTAAGGCTCATTCTATTTCGATGTAAGGAGATGGTTATCAATGGAGTTAGTTTCGAGACGTTGAACTTACTCGCCATTAAATGGCAAATGCTACGGCCACTCAAGGAGCCTGACCTGCTTTCGAGAAACGATCTGGTACCGATTTCTCGATTGAACGCAGGTGGTGAATCAATAGATAATTATCCGCATTTTTTAGAGTTGCTTCATTTTTGACGCCGGTTGGGAATCTGCGTCGATGAAAAATCAATTACTGGAGCGATTATGCTATCTCACGTCCGGTGATTCGAGAATTTCTATTGATAATTGATCGGTAAATTAATCATTGAAGAGATAATAATTATGAGAAATTGTGAATTTGCTCTTTTGGACTTTCTCAACCTCATTTACAGATTCTACACAGAGATTGATTGAATCCTGAAAGTCATTCTTTGGGTAATTCTAGGTGAGGGATAAGAATCCATAAGAATTGGGGATAGATTTGTAAAAAGTACAAATTGCATAAAGTCTTTTCTTCTATAAGCTCTGGACAGAATTTCCCCCGGAAAAATTACCTGAACTGCTCGGATATCCATAAATATAATTTTTTTTTGAAATTTTCCACAAAATAAACTGGTCAATTTTCTCGAAAGCCCGAAAATGTCCTCAAATCTTTTAGAAAAAGCCCAAATGTTCGCCAAATCCTATTTACTAAAGATGAAGGAAACGTGAAGTTGTTTTATATCGAAATATCTCGAACTGCCTGACCGCCAATCCTCAATTCTGATTGGTCAATGGGTCACGTGAAGTAGTCGCTGAAAAAATCCCCGGTATTTTCAAATTCTTCAAATGTCAAAAAAATTTTCTGCGTTATGGATCGAGTGCGTAATTTAATAATTAGTGCAAAAAAAAATTTGTTATTGTTTGTTTGCCCGAAAACGCTTAAAATACTAAAAACAGTCCAGGGCCTCCAATTTTTGAGCTACAAAAGATTTTTTTTTTTCAAAATGTTGGGAAAAATGTGTGGAACAACCATTACGAGCCAGTTTTTTGGAATTCGGCTCCTACACAGCTGATTTCGGTTTTTTTCATATAAAAAAATTCACTATTTGTGTAAAAAAAATACAAAAAAAGCAAATTTAGCCTTGTAAGAGGCGAATTAAAAAAAAATAGCTCGTAATTGTTATTCCACATATTTTTCCGAAAATTTTGAAAAAAAAATCCTTCGTAACTCAAGAATTGGAGGCCCTGGACTGTTTTTAGCATTTTAAGCGTTTTCGGGCAAACGAACAATAAAAAAAAATTTTTTTGCACTAATTATTCGTTTTCAGATCTATATAATCGATCTTCAACGTATGAAAAATCTCACTCCAATAACCCACGACTTTTAAAACTCATAGTAGTCTCCCCTTAAATTAGAACGATAGAACTGCTCCCATTCACCAGTAAAATTATAAAATATGGAACTTCAGGTATTGTACTGAAGAAAAAAACTATTCTGTTGAAGATAACATTGTTTTCTGTGGTCGTGCGAAACCTTGAAGACATCCACATGCATCGGTTTCCTCCGGGTGTGATAATAACTGAAAAAATCCCTGGGGATTACGTTAATTAAATTCCACAGAGCAAGCGAGCCATGAGTCACGCAATTCTCTGTTTGTTCTGTCCCCCATTTTTTGCTGCACAGTTGTAATACCATGTAAACATATTGTTTTGTCCTTTTGTAGAATGATGGGAAGAAAGAGAAAGTGTAAATATTATAATTGCTAGGGGAATATTGCTTAGTCTAAATGTTCTGCTGTGGGAGATACAGAAATGTCAACGCCTACTTTGTAATCGATAGTTCTGAGAGGAGCTGCGTCATGCGGTTTTTTGAGATGACCGGGTCAACGCACTTTCTCGTCACGCAGTCTAAGTTGAAAAATCGTCTTCTAATGTAATCACTGCCTACACGCATTACAAAGACTAGAGAAACTTATAAATATTGACAAAAATACAAGACAACACTTTTTACGTTTTTTGTCAATCCTGTCAACTTCTGGACGGGGATTAGTTTTCGGACGATTTCAACTTGCAGTGAATATTCCGTAAATAAAATGAAAATTGTACTGATTATTTCACCTTTCAATAATATTATTACACTCGTGTGTAATCATGTGGTCAATCATTTTTTCTATTCATCGACATTTAATTAAAAAAAAATATATATATATGGCCCAGTCGTCCAGAAATTAGGGGTTGAATGGACAAAATAACCATTCGGAATCATATTGCTAATGTATTATCAAAAATAACTATACTATACACAATACAAGAACATTTTCCCACTCGTTTTTCTTTTTTTGCCACAATTTTGAAAACCGGCACAGACATTTTTTGTCGGACATTCAATTTTCTCCAAAAAAGGTCCGAATACATTTCTTCCGAAATTGAATAATTTCAGCGATACTTGCAAAATAAGATGAGAAAAGGTTTTGACTCCGTTTTCATTCACTGACAAAAATTAATCAATTAAATCTCATTAATTACCTTATTTTTGGTGGTCTTGTCCATGATTCTGTACGACGATGCTGCGTAGACAGCCCCCGCCTTACGAGACACGCATTGCCCCATATAGATCTGCCAACTTTGTTTCTACACCACCTGATCATCATAAAATCCGTTTTATCACTCGTACACATGAGGAATGTGGATTATTAATACAATCAACCCATCACATTTGATTAGTCATTATTACAGTGTGAAGAATAGTTCCCATCACCAATCGAGAAAAACTAAATTCCCAGTGCCAGTATATTGAGACAAAAAACTATTTTTTCATTACGCTGTGCGAAAAAGTAACTTTTTAGGCACCCCTCGCGTGCCTAAAACGTCCTTTTTCCACACATTGTGATGAAAAATATCGTTCGATACTCGTGGGAAAAGTGTTTAAAGTGATTCGTGTGTTGGCACGAGCCGAAGGCGAGTGCTATAAACCTCCCACGAGCCAAAAAACTCTTTTCCGCACTCGTAACGAAATATACTATTTCACACCACTGCATGGAAAGTTCATACTTTTCTCCCGCCCATCAAAAAGCAAAATACGAACTTTCCTTTGCAGGCGTGTTAAAAAATCGCATGTGCACCTCGGGCGGAAAGTCAAGACTTTCCGCCCTTGATGCACAATATACTAATTTGACACTGCTACTACGTTCACTTCGTGCCGAAAAGTGCCTTTTCGTTTGCTCGTAAACGAAAAATAAACGAAATAGTATATTTCAGTACATGTGGGGCAATATCGTCTTTAACGTGTGTGGGGTTTACAGCATGAGCCGAAGGCGAGTGATGTAACCACACACGTTAAGGACGAAATTTCCCCACAAGTACTGAACAAAATTTTATGTCACGAAGCCTGAAACCGGCTGAATTAGACACATGGAATAAATGTCTGTGTAATCCAGCCGGTTTCAGGCATGAGTGGCATAATATACTATTGTGCATCAAGGGCGGTAAGTCAAGACCCGATTAATTTTGAATCTTGAGGGTATTTGTCGGATTATTTTTTCCAATCGAATTTTGGCCAAGCAGAGTGCAGTGGACCACATCAGGAGGTGAATTGGGGAAGATTTGAACAAATTATGTTAATAGAATAAACCGATTTCCATAGACTGTCAAATATAAAATTCTATCTGAAATAAGCCGAAAAAAAGAAGAGCTACTGCGAAATATTTAGTAGTAATACCAGTAGTGCTTCAAAATTATCGAATATTTTCCGATAGCTTCGTTGCCTAGGAACGATTGTGTCAAATTTTGCAGGTTTAAAATCCATAGTACGAAGCACGAGGGATTTTTCTGCCAAATTTGACACACTCGTTCCTAGGCAAGGAAGCTTGTGGAAAATATCCGATTAATTTTGAAGCACGAGTGGTATTTGACGGATTATTTTTCCGCTCGGATTTCGGCCAAGCAGTGAACAGCATCCGGATACATTTACACAGCGATACATTTACAATCCACTTTTTTGTTTATCTGTCACACAGAATATTAAACGTGAAATGCGTTGAAAGATGAGAAACATTTGAAAAGCTACTAGTGAATTCTGTCGGAAATTTTTTAGAAATTTCCGAAATAAAGCTGTTTGACAATCTCAAATCCTGCGCTCTGATTGGCTGAAATCCGAGTGAGAAAAATAATCCTATTTTACTAAAGATGAAAGAAACGTGAAGTTGTTTTATATCGAAATATCTCGAAACTGCCTGACCGCTAATCCTTAATTCTGATTGGTCAATATGTGACACGAAGTTATTCACAAAAAAAACACGCGGCATTTTCAAATTCTTCAGTGACATAATTTCAAATTCTTCAGAGGTAAATTTTTTTTTCACGTCACATATATATAATATATATATTTCACATGTATATATATTATCAGTGAAATTAATAAATTCTGTCCTTTTATGGAGACCGATTATTTTAAAAAATTGAAGATAATTAATTGAAAATGAAAAATTCTTTATAGATTCTTTTACTCTACTTCGCTATTCACTTCAATCATTAGTCGAATTCTCTTTGATTCATTATCAATATTTATAACGTATTCATGAGAAAATGAAATTTAATGAATTCCATTTCTTCATTTCAACAAATGAATAGATCAGCGCGCGCATAGTTCTTGTCGGGAAAAAAAAAGAAGAACTACTGCGAAATATTCAAAAGCTAGGAGGAAATATCCGGAATGAAACTGTTGGGTAGCCTCAAATACTGCGGACTGATTGGTCGAAATCCGACTGGGAAAAATAATCTGAGATATTTACAAAATAGCACTGTTAACAGCAGAATAAAACTAAAAATTATCTAAATTCCATCGGTATTAGGTCAATGAATCATACCTTTTTGCAGTGAAAGAGTTAATTGGGATAATAATGATAACGCTCGGTTAAACTCTGCCGGAATAAATGTCTGATCATCGAACCACGAAGTACTAAACAATAAAAATTATTACGGATAATAAAGATGGAAATTCTTGAAACAATAATTTTCTCGTTTCCATGTTTATTCCTTTCCTACTCTACTTGAAGAACAATAGAACAACTCTCTTCATTATTCTATGCATTTGTTTGATGTCTTTATGAAGTTTATTTATGGGAAAAACATTCTCACACGTTCCTCGAGTGAATATTGTGAGAGAATGGAGTAAAAGTCAACTTGGGGGTTTTTAACTTTTACTTCCTGGCTATGGTCTAAAAGTCCTTGATAATGAGTTCGAGCATTTGTGCGAGTTACGTTTGTGGTATTCGTGGTTTCATACGCGAGATACATAATAAATTACGAATGCAGGAATCTCATTATCAATAAAAATTTCAAGAGACATTTTTTTTCAGTTTAATTTGCGAATTTTCTTTTCGCTGAATCCAACCATTTCAAAGATATTTACAAAACATGAAAGAATCTGACAACAATTTTCTTATGTCCGAATTTCCAAATCTCCGGAACTATTTGGTTTAGCGAAAAGTGCTCACCAAATTGTTGCAGAAAATCATCTTCTCGACAGAGAATTCTGTTGACATTCTTCTTTAAGGTGTTTCGTGTAAAAAGTCAAAATAATGAAAAAAAATTGAAAATTTCATGGGAGAAATTTCTGAGTATGCTGCATCATTGAGAATTCTTGCACATTTTTTCAGATCTCAGTCTCAAGAAAAAGAATGAAATTTGGATGTTTTTTTAACCCCTCCAGCTATAACCTCCGAGGTTATCCCACTCTCAATTAGGGAAGTTTCCATGGCACCCAAAAAAATAATGAACTATTGAAGAAAAACTAGTGGGTGATAAATCAAATCTTTCTTGAGAACACGTATAAGTTTCAGATTGTTTTCTGATTTCATAAGAAAATTGTTTGAACAAATGATTCGGAAAATTATGAGTTTCGGGGCAATTACGCCCTCACGCGCAGGCGCGTGATTCGAATGTCAGTGAGCATCATGGGAAAGGTATAGGTTGGACTATGGAACTGAGAGAGAGAAAACGCTTGACAGGTTTACCAACTCGAGCTGCATTTTGATATTATTCCAATAATTAGAAAAACATCCAATAAAAATTATTTGACACCGGTAGGTGATGAGAAAAAAATCAATCAATCTGATAAACAAAATCAATATTCAAAAAAAGTTCAAATCCACACTCAAATCGTTACTTGAAAATTGAAAAATTTCGTGCTCAGCGATTGAATCAGGGCTCGAAAACAATGAAACTCCCCTTCCGGTTCACCCCCCGGTGATCAGCACACGAAACACCTTAAACCCAACGGTTAACCCTAGTTGGTCACCATATGAGAACTTGCGGCTTGGTCACCTCCGCAGGGAATTGCCGCCGTGTTATTTAGGCCCGAGCGTTGCCGAATTCACTCTATACTGCCCGGGCGCGTTTAGCGAGACTTCGGCAACGTCGCACAACGAGCAATTTCATTTAACATGGGAAATTTCGTTGCCTCACATGCGAAAGGTTCCGAGTTCAAATCCCGGCCGGGTAGAATGGTGCGATCTAACCATTTAAAGTCTTGATCATCATCGCAGTATACCCTAACCGGGTCGAAGTGATGTAAAATAATGATAAAAAAAAAAAAATTAACATGGGAAAAATTGCCCGTCTGTTAGAAATAATTTTTTTTCTCCAGGAGTTGTGGATATAAATAATTTTAAAAAATATTATAATTTTCTAGACACTTAAATTGACGCATTCCAATTTTTTAGGATTTTTCCGCTCAGCCAGTCAATGGTAAGAAAAAAAATCGACTTTCTGCGGCGTTTCCCTCCTATGGTGACCAAACTAGGGTTAAGGAGATATTCGCCACATAATCTAGACAGAATTTTCCACTTTGAAATTTCGTATGTAAATTATCTCGCAAATATGCGAATAACCTAGACAATTTTTTATTATTTAAAATTGAATTTGGAGTTGGAGTGGCTCATCGTCCTCTGTGAGTCAAAGTTGGGGAGAAAATTGGTAAAACCTCCGAAAATTGATTCGACTCGATTTTGAAGAGGACAATTACCGAACCGAAAAAATTTAGTCTTCTGAAGGTTTTACGAGGGTTCCGGTCATTCCCGATAATTTATTGCCACTGAAGACATTGGAGACGGCCCACGCGATCCATAAAACTAGAGAAACCCGTTTGTGATTGCATTCTTCGAGATTTAATGTAAAAAATGACTAAACAAAATTTTTAACAAGGTTTTCTCAATTGTAAACCAAAGAAAATCAATTTTGATGTACATAGTCAACTAAATTACATGAAATTACATGACGATGTTATCAAGATCATTAATAAGTGGATTTGAAAAATTAAATGATAAAAAATCGAGTTAATTATGTAACTCAATCAGGAAACTAAATGAATCCTTAAAGTAGCTCTACCCTCACGGTAAATTCAAAGATTATTGAAAACTGCAAAAAAATTGCAGAAAACTCGATTAGATTTGGAATTCTAATTTTTTTCTCAATTTAATTATCGTTTTGGTTTTTCAAAGAAGAAATGGTAAAAATCAGGATTTAACCCAGTGTCTTATGTGAAAATCAACATTTCCATTGTAATCAAAGATTAAAATCTGAATTTTTTTTCATTAGATGTGAAAAAATCGAGAATTTTTTTGACACCTTATAAAAAATAATCCACCGTTTTGCCAACAAGTTTTATTATTTATTTATAAGAGGGAGATGTTTGAAAAAATATCAAAATTTTGCGAAATTTAATTTAGATAATACTGACTGGGTATGACTTTGACCACTATGAGTTTTAAAAGTCGTGGATTATTGGAGTGAAACTTTTCATACGTTGAAGATCGATTATATAGATCTGAAAACGAATTAGTGCAAAAAAAAAATTTTTTTATTGTTAGTTTGCCTGAAAAATGCCAAAAACAGTCCAGGTCCTCCAATTTTTGAGCTACGAAGGATTTTTTTTTCAAAATTTTCGGAAAAATATGTGGAATAACAATTACGAGCAATTTTTTTTAATTCGCCTCTTACATGGCTAAACTTGCTTTTTTTGTATTTTTTTACACAAAAATAGTGAATTTTTTTATATGAAAAAAACCGAAATCAGCTGGGTAGGAGTCGAATTCCAAAAAACTGGCTCGTTGTTCCACAAATTTTTCCGAAAATTTTGAAAAAAAAAAATCTTTTGTAGCTCAAAAATTGGAGGTCCTGGACTGTTTTTAGCATTTTAAGCGTTTTCGGGTAAACGAACAATAAAATTTTTTTTTTTGCACTAACTATTCGTTTTTAGATCTATATAATCGATCTTCAACGCATGAAAAGTCTCACTCCAACAACCCACGACTCTTAAAGCTGATAGTAGTCTCCCTATCTTAAGGGGTAACAGGAGGCCATCGATTCTTTGAAATATTCAAACAAATCTCCTGCTCAAAGTTATTAATATTTTTCGAACCCAAAGCACACTGATCTTAATAATCACCTCCTGGAAATTAATGTGCTTCGATTTGTAAAAACATCGATAACTTTCGGCAGGAAATTTGTTCAAAAATTTGAAAAATTAGCAGCATTCTGTTATCCCTTAATATCATATTCATAAACGTCTATGTATGAAGTCAATAATTCTGGAATCGAAAGGGAAATCGCAGTTCAAAGTGACGAGTTAATCACAAAATTAATCAAATTCCTAGCAAAAGATGCAAAAAAAATCGTTACGCAGGAATTTCCATAGATAAATGTGTTAATGAGTAACAAAAACGTCAAGGAATATAAAATGGTTTGAACAAAAATTAAAACACCAATCCTTACAGACGATAACTGAAATTCCAATGACATTTTATTGAGCAAAATCTGACATTTTCATTAAAACTGAAATTATCTCGTTAACGAGTCGTTTTCGACGGAAATGTCAAAAAACAATCTTTGTCAGAAATTAAATTTTCTGAAAAAAATGTTCAGTAACATTTCCTCATAAACATCCTTGTTACAGAGATAATCCTGCATTTATGAAGTCAATAATTCCGGAAACTAGGGGGAAATCTCGAATGAGTGACGAAAGTGTTGAAAAAACTTAGGAAACACGTAGTTATGAATTGAGCGTGAGACATGCGTAACTAATATGCAGTGTAGCGGATAACAGTGTTGTGAGAAAGTTCAGGAAGGAAAGACAAAAAATAATCTAAACATGTAATCAAGTGTTCTCCAAATTCCCAGTGCGCATGCAGAGTCCAGATGCAGAGCCACCCTGACACCCATTTTCTAGACCCTCTCTCCATTTTCCAAGACTCCATCACCTTTATTCACTCAATAATCTACTGCATTCAATAAATAAATGAACAATTCGGTGGAGAAATGGTAAAACGAATTGAACCAATTCCTTTCGACTTGTTCAATACGAAATTATCTCAGCGATGAGTGGTTCTGGGAGGAAATGTCGGGAGTTATTTTTTGTAGACAATTTAATTCTCTACAAAAGGGCATATAACATTTACTCCTTGAACCACTTCTTTCTGCAGTAAACTCAGAATATTATGAAGAGACTCAATGTCATTATTTTACCACTTCACTAGAGAATTGGGTAGATAAACAATTACTATTCTCAATTTACTCACGAAGAATAATTTCCCCGACGTTCACCTGACAATTTCCACGAACACACATACACTGTCAAATTAAACAAAACAATAATAGAAAAAAATGTAAGAAAATAACGCAAAATATGAAAATCGACGTTCAACATTCCTCTTGAATGAAACATAGTAAAAATTAACGGTATGCAATTCTTCCAAATTTTTAATTTCTAAAAAATCGGAGACATTAAAGAAATTATTCAACACTATTCAATCCCAAACGGAAAATCTTGGGAATTAAATGAATGAAATTCTCAAAATATTTCAAGAAATATGAACAATTAATATTGAACTACAATTAATATTAACTGTTCAATGAATCAGACTAACAATCAAGAGAAAACAATCTTTCTAAAATTTTAATTCTTGAAGAATGCCAAAAATCTCAAGAAGGTCAGTAAAGGCAAAAAAAGTATTCGAAACAATTTAACTCCAAAAGAAAATCTTGTAAATTAAATTAATGAGATTCTTAAAAAATCAAACAAATAATGAAAAGCGAATATTTCTTTTAAATGAATAAACATTCTAATCCTACGAAAGCCCAAAAAATCGGCGAAATTTAAGGAATTATTCAACACTATTCAATCCCAAACGGAACATCTTGTGAATTGAATGAATAAGATTTTCAATTTTCGATTTTTGATTCGCAAAAAATCAAACAAAATATTAAAATTGAATATTTCTTTTGAATGAATCAACATTCTAATCCTACGGAACCCCAAAAAATCTAAGAAATTTAATTGAATGAATAAAATTCTCAAAATATTTTAAGAAATATGAACAATTAGTATTGAACATTTCCATTCAATGAATTAGTCTAACAATTAAGAGAATATAAACTTTCTAACATTTTAATTCTTAAAGAATGCCAAAAATCTCAAGAAAGCCATTAAAAAGGCAATAAAAGTATTCGAAACAATTTAACCCCAAAAGAAAATCTTGTGAATTAAATTAATAAGATTCTCAAAAAATCAAACAAAATATGAAAACGAATATTCCCTTTGAATAAATAAACATTCTAATCCTACGAAACCCCAAGAAATCTGAGAAATTTAATTAAATGAATAAAATTCTCAAAATACTTTAAGAAATATGAACAATTAGTATTGAATATTTCCATTCCATTCAATGAATCAGACTAACAATCAGAAGAAAACAATCTTTCTAATATTTGAATTCTTAAAGAATTCCAAAAATCTCAAAAAGGCCATTAAAAAAGGCAAAAAATATTCGAAAGAATTCAACCCCAAAAGAAAATCTTATGAATTAAATGAATAAAATTCTCTAAACTTTTCAAGAAATATGAACAATTGATATTCAATATTTCTCTTCAATAAATCAAACTAACAATCAAGAGACTACAGTCTTTCTAGCCGTTTAATTTTTAAAGAATGTCAAAAATCTCAAGAAGGCGATAAAAAAATGCAAAAAAATATTCGAAAGAATTCACCCACAAAAAAAATCTTGTGAATTAACTTAATGAGCTCTTCAAAAAATTAAACAAAATATGAAAAACGAATATTCAACATTCATTTTGAATGAATAAAGATTCTAATCCTACGAAAGAAAGTCTTATGAATTAAATGAACGAAATTCTCTAAACATTTCAAGGAATATGAACAATTAGTATTGAACATTTCCATTCAATGAATCCGACTAACAATCAGAAGAAAAAAATCTTTCTAATATTTGAATTCGTAAAGAATGCCAAAAGCTCAAAAACGCGATTAAAGGCGAAAAAATATTCGAAAGAATTCAACCCCAAAAGAAAATCTTATGAATTAAATGAATAAAATTCTCTAAACTTTTCAAGAAATATGAACAATTGATATTCAATATTTCCCTTCAATAAATCAAACTAACAATCAAGAGACTACAGTCTTTCTAGCCGTTTAATTTTTAAAGAATGTCAAAAATCTCAAGAAGCGATAAAAAAATGCAAAAAAATATTCGAAAGAATTCACCCACAAAAAAAATCTTGTGAATTAACTTAATGAGCTCTTCAAAAAATTAAACAAAATATGAAAAACGAATATTCAACATTCATTTTGAATGAATAAAGATTCTAATCCTACGAAAGAAAGTCTTATGAATTAAATGAACGAAATTCTCTAAACATTTCAAGGAATATGAACAATTAGTATTGAACATTTCCATTTAATGAATCCGACTAACAATCAGAAGAAAAAAATCTTTCTAATATTTGAATTCGTAAAGAATGCCAAAAGCTCAAAAACGCGATTAAAGGCAAAAAAATATTCGAAAGAATTCAACCCCAAAAGAAAATCTTATGAATTAAATGAATAAGATTCTCTAAACATTTCAAGAAATATGAACAATTGATATTCAATATTTCTCTTCAATGAATCAAACTAACAATCAAGAGAATAGTCTTTCTAGCCGTTTAATTCTTAAAGAATGTCAAAAATCTCAAGAAGGAGATTAAAAAAATGCAAAAAAATATTCGAAAGAATTCACCCCCAAAAAAAATCTTGTGAATGAACTTAATGAGCTTCTCAAAAAATCAAACAAAATATGAAAAACGACTATTCGACATTCGCAAGCCCAGGGCTTCGTAAAAAAACTGTCTCCCCAAAGGAATTTTAATTGACAATCCTCCACAGATTAATGTATTCAACCTCCTTTCATTTTTCCGATCCGAAAATTCCTCGGCGCATTCACGCGTATCTAATAACGAGCGCATATCAAAGGTGATTAGCCTTCGCCAGTCTGAACAAAAAAAACATTGGCTCCATCCATTATCGACCAATTACTCAATGAATTCTCACCTCTTACACAGCTAGATTGGTCAGGTATAACAAGTGTGCTCGGTCTAAACATCATAAATCCTTGGAGACAACTAGAGACAAGGGCTCACAGCAAGTGCAAGCATGGCACACACAACAACTGATCAAACTTCTTCGTTATGAACTACAGGATTCTCCCCAAATGATAAACGAATTCACTCGACACTTCGTCCCTTATTGTTTTTCTCAAGTTCAGTTCACGATTTTCTCCTGCTATTGGTCGGATTTTTATCTTATTACCTACAAATTCGTTTCTCACGTTCACGCACGGTAGAACTCGGAGTCTGTCTTCACGTACGGCCTACGGCGAGCAGTGCACCACCTGTCATTCGGATAATGTTCGATAGTACTGAACATGCGTCCTGACGTCACGCCCCACCATATCCTCGGTGGTTTCGGGGGGGAGCAAGGTGTTCTTGAGGGGTCTGAAGTTGTCTGATTACTGGAGCAACTTCAGTTCGCATTGGGAGGAGTTGTCCGGCCAATCGGCGCGTCGCGCGCAGTTTGATGATTTTGAAGGAACTTTTTTTGTTTACGAAGGGGAAACAGCTCAATTTCTGAACGGGGGTTTGTTTCTGGGGATTTCAACTTGCACGGAATATTCCATAAATAAAATGAAAATTGTACTGATTACTTCACCTTTCAATAATAGAGGAAGTTGGGGTAAAATGGACACTTTTAACTTTTTTTTAAATGTTAATGACGGGTTGAAATGTTGATAAAATTTAATAATTTTTTTTCATTGCAAAGACCAATTCTTTCCCTTTGTGATAGAGAACTCAAATCGTCCAGATTTCACGTTCCTTAGAATCTCTCAAATTTCATTGGTAATTAGATTTTTTGGGATCATTTATGCATGTTTGTTCATAAGACGAGTTCAATAAATTTGAGATAATGAGACACCCATGAGAAAATTTAAAGAAAACTCGTTTATTTCTTCGTTGAAAAAGAAAACCACAATTCAATTTAATTCACAACTCCTGTTCTGATTTTTTCACTCACTCGAGTCAACTTCTGCGTATGACATTCATTAAAAAATTCATTAACATTGAGATTATTTGTTAGTCGTCCAGCCGCGCCAGATGGAGGCGATGCTGGCAGCAGCACTGGTGACGAGGCCTCCGGCCACACTCTGGTTCACTTGGATGCTTGAGGACTGCTGGGTAAGTATTGCACCAGGGATTGGGACTGTCATTTCAGGACAGGCGACGTTCGGAACCTGAAATTCACCGTAAAAAATAATCCTCTGAATTTGAATAAAGAAAAATGCAAAATTCCACGAAATTTTTTTCGTAGGAAATTTTCTCAGATACAGAATAGTATATTTCGTAACGAGTGCAAAAAAGATTTTTTCACTAGTTACGAACAATATTTTTCATCACAATGTGGCGGAAATTGGACTTTTAGGCACGCGGAGCGTGCCGAAAAGTTCACTTTTCGTCACAGCGTGATGAAATAGTATATTACGGTACAAGTGTAAAGACTGAGACAAAAACGACAAAGTTCAGGATTTCTCAATTAAAGACGCTCTTTGAAAAAGTTCAGAATTTTTTCTATTTTTTTTATCACAAGATCTATGCTGATCTGTTCATTTCTTGAAATGAAGAAATGAAATTCATTGAATTTCATTTTCTCATGAATACCTTATAAATATTGATAATGAATCAAAGAGAATTCGACTAATGATTGAAGTGAATAGCGAAGTAGAGTAAAAGAATCTATAAAGAATTTTTCATTTTCAATTAATTATCTTCAATTTTTTTAAATAATCGGTCTCCATAAAAGGACAGAATTTATTAATTTCACCGATGATATATATACATGTGAAATATATATAATATATATATATATGACGTGAAAAAAAATTTACCACTGAAGAATTTGAAATTATGTCACTGAAGAATTTGAAAATGCCACGTATTTTTTTTGTGAATAACTTCGTGTCACATATTGACCAATCAGAATTAAGAATTAGCGGTCAGGCAGTTTCGAGATATTTCGATGTAAAACAACTTCACGTTTCTTTCATCTTTAGTAAATAGGACTAGATCTGTGCGCACGCTTTCGCGCGCGCTCATCTTTTTGTTGTGAAAATGAAGAAATCGAATTTATTAAACTTCATATACTCATAGATGTTTTATAAATATTGATAATGACTTAAAGAGAATTAAGAGAATTAAGAGAATGAAGAGTGAAGCATCAATAAATAATTTTTAATCTTCGATTAATTCTTTTTTTTTTACTTTTTAAAATAATCTGATTAAAATCTGTAATTGTTAAAAAATCAGGGGAGGGTTATGAATTGATTTCCTAGAAAACTGAAAAAATTTCTTGAATTCTTCAGAAAATTTCAGTTTTCCAGATAACCGTAGATCACAGATTGTTCTCGAATTATTTGGGAAACCGAAGAATTTTCGTGAATTTTGTAGAGTTTAGAATTTATGTATGAAAATCTGAGAAGCAAGAATTGATCATTTTGGCGTGTGATAAATATGAAAAAATTAAAATTTGGAAAGTGAAGAATAATTTGTCAGTTAAAAAAATTTAGAAATACTATGTTTTTCTTTCTCATGATCAACAATTAGGCAATTTAGATATGTTTTGATATAAAACAACTTCACGTTTCTTTCATCTTTAGTAAATAATAGGATTCTATCATAATTTTTGGGAATTTCTACACGATGTACCATTCAATTGACAATTTTGGATTACGAAAGATAAATCCAGATAACATTCGAAAGATAGTACACCCGGGCATTAATAAACAAAAGTTATTGAAAAAACTTTTTTTTTTCTTGAATTACGGCACATAGTCGCTTTTCAGTTATTTAATTTTGCCCCAACTTCCTCTATATTCACGAAAGTAACTTGATAATGAGTTAATTTAACCGAAAATGCTTGTGGGCATTCGCCTGAACCTACTCATTAACGAGATAATTCCGAGGTAATTCTTCAATCGACATGAAGAAATGATACTCACAGCTTCCCATTCCCAATTGAACGCATCCTCCTCCTCATCCGAAGCAGAGTCATCACTGTTTTCAAGGTCAGACGTCAATTGGCTGTGGAGATGATCAACAATGGCTGGATCCGCCTCCATGGGGCCAACTCTACCGAGATCACTTATTTCTGTGTTGAGCAGGTGCATTAGATTCTGGAGTGTGTGCATTGGGTGTAAAATATTGATGTCTGTGTTCTGGGTGAAACACAGGTGGAGAACATTGCTGTTGAGGCGAGCAACTTTCCTCGCGAACTTCTGGTCTGACATTTCATTTCCACAGAATTCTCTGCAAACATTCGTAAATTCGTAATTTCAAGTCACATTAAGAGAGTTAATTAACAAATTTCAGTTACAAAACCGAATGGATCAGTTCATGATAATCTTTTATTTGCAATTATCTCAGTAATACGTGAGTTCAGAAGAAAATATCAGAAAATTTTTCGTAGAGAATTCAATTTTCTATATTTTGGTCCCTCCACATCGTCCCCTCAAGCCACTCATTAACGAGATGATTGAACAGTTAAAAATTTTAAATTGCATTCAATTAATTGTAATAAAAGGTATTTCGTGAGAAATGAGTTAACGGCTGACGCCTCACCCTTTTGCAAATTAATCGCGATTTTTTCTACGATTGGGGGGCTAGAATAACTATCTCTCAATTTTTTTCAGATTTTTTCGACAGCCCATTTCGGAAATATGATTTTTTCTTTGTTTTTTCTTTCTTTTTTTTTCAGTAATTCGGGTTCTATTCAGCCGATTTCAATTTATGATGGCTCAAAATTCTTCATTTTCTACCATATATAAGGAGATTTTGGATATATTTTTTTTTCAATTTCTAGGTGCTCATAATACCGAATTTTCAAAAAAAAAAATTGAAAAACCTGAATTTTCAAAATTATGTCACTTTTTATTTTTCTCATCTCTTTTTAAGTAACTCTTATAATCAAAACAAGTATTTTGAGTCGTCATACAGGTTGGGTTTCGTCCCGGATCCATTTTATTTTTAATATTTTCTTCTCGAAATTCCGGGAATTTGGTCAAAACACCCCAAAACGACTTCGATTATGTATAAAAAAAATGTAACATAAGTATACGTTTAAATTCACTTCATACTGTTTATAATCGAAGTCAATCAACGTCATTTTGGGGTATTTTGACCAAATTTATGGAATTCCGAAAAGAAAAATTTGAAAATAAAATAGATCTAGAACGAAATCCAACTTGGATGACGGCTCAAAATACTTGTTTTGATTACAAGAGTTACTGACAAAAACACAAGAAAAGTAAAACGTGACATAATTTTGAAAATTCAAGTTTTCCAACTTTTTTTTTTTTGAAAAATCCGTATTATGAGCCTCTTGAGGTCGAAAAAAGAAATTACTCAAAATACTCATATAGATGGTAGAAAATCGAAAATTTTGACGTGCCATAAATGAAAATCGGATGAATAGAACTGGAGTTATTGAAAAAAAAACGAAAAAACGAAAAATCGTATCTCCAAAATGAGCTGTTAAAAAAACCTGAAAAAAATTGAGAGATAGTTTTTTCAATCCCCCAATCGTAGAAAAAATTGAGATCAATTCCCAAGAGGGTGAGGGTCAGCTGTTGACTTATTTGACATGAAACACTTCATACAATTTGCTAATTTGACGATTCTCTCATTAATGACCGGGTGTAAGAGGAAATGTGACAAAACCGTTTTTGGCAGAAAACTCATTCCCAACATTTTATTCCCGAGACATTTTCTTCTCCAATCACTCCTGAACAAGATATGTCAAAGAATGATGTCATTTTCTGTTTTTCTGTTGGACAAATTATAATTACCCATAAGATAATTTGTAAGGTAATCTGACATTTACGTAATACGCCAGAACATTAACAAGTTGTGTTGCATATGTTAATGCAGCACTGATATTGTACGCTGGATTGTGCATGAAATTCTCCTTATTAGCCCCTGGGACTCCTTCTTTATTGGCAGTAACTGTAACCAAAAAAATTACTTAGTTAATTCTCATTGACATTAATTCGTGCCATCTTCAGTGCAATAAAGATGTCTTAAGGCCAGGGTGTACTATCTTTCGAATGTTATCTGGATTTTTTTTATCTTTCGTAATCCAAAATTCTCAATTGAATGGTACATCATGTAGAAATTCCCAAAAATTATGATAGAATGATAAAAAAAATAGACAAAATTCTCAACTTTTTCAAAGAGCGTTTTTAATTGTGATTCAGAATGAGTTGAAAAAAGTGGAAATTACAAATATCTGATTCGCTGTGGCAAATTATCTATTAGCTGTCATTTTCCATGGTGGATAACAAAACACTAACTCCTCATGGGAAGTGACAGNATTATTCATTCATAATTGTTCAAAACTTCTGCATGATGCAGGACTCAATTGACAATTTCAGATGAAAGATGAAAAAAAACATCGAGATAACGTTCGAAAGATAGTACACCCGGGCCTTAAATTCACAATAAATTACCCCAAAGTGAATATGCACTGTAATCCCCGGAACCTGGCAATGTTGGAGCTACGATTCGATGCTGAGACTCTAAACTATTTTCAGAATCACTGATCCATCGTCCTCGCACGTATGAAGTACCTGAGGCGTCTGCCAATGCACATGTTACAACATCGGCGTTTGGACTCTCTTCTTCACTGCTGCATAAACTAATAAATTAAATAGAAACTGAATTAATCTATAATCATTTAATACATATATTTTTTACACTCTACTGAAACAATAGTGATTATTTTGTGAACATCTCCGGAACTAGCAAGTTTACCGAAAAATGCAAAAAAATAATTTTTGTAGAGAATTAAATTTCCTACATTTGGTTTCCTGGACATTTCCTGCCAAAAATACTCCTTAACGAGATATTTCCATAAAATGATTCGACATTTTGTTATTGAGTTGCAAAAATTATTATTAATTACTCATAAGATTAATTGTAAGCTCAAAAACAGCTAGAAACACTTATTTTTGGAATGTATTTCGTTGATGAGTGATTTTGGGAAAAATATGTTTCAACATATTCTCCTGAGCTCACAATTCTATAATTAGCTATTATCACTGTATACTATTAAAAATCCAAATTGACTTCTGGTGATAAAAATTTAGGTACTCGAAATTAAGACTCCACAATTAAGGGTCACAAGGGTCAGATTAAAGGTAATAAGAGTCACGGGGATCAGATTAAGAGTTACAAGGGTCAGAATAAGGATTATAGGATTAAAAAGATTTTTTGTAGAGCAATACTATATTATAGTTATATATACTTGCGTTCACTGCAAGGCCGATTAAATTTCAACGTAATTATCAAACGACAGTTGACAACAACTTTCATTAAATTATCTTATAGCATTTTCTTCTAAAATTACACGCACGACAAAATTTAATAGAAAAACCTATCGAATTTGTTAGAAAATTCTACTGAATTTCTATTAAACTTTCTATTAGTTTTTGGCTGATTCTATTGACATGTTCAATAGAAAACATTCAATAGAAAAAGTCAACAGAATTCGATTTTTCTATATAACTTATTCTTTTCATATATTTTCTATAGAATTTGCTCGACTCAAATTTTCCAAGTTTTTTTCATTCTATTTTTCTTTTCTTCTCATCAAGAAAATCAAACGAAAAAACTTAGAAAATTTGAGCCGAGGAAATTCTACAGAAAATATCTCAATAGAATAAGTTATATAGAAAAACTGAATTCTATTGGCTTTTTCTACTGAATATTTTCTACTGAACATTTCAATAGAATCGGTCAAAAACTAATAGAACAGTTCAATAGAAATTCAATAGACTTTCCTAACGAATTCGATAGGTTTTTCTACTAAATTTTTTCGTCCGTGTACTCAGTAAGGAATTATTTCCATGGAATCATCCGACATTTTAATTTGAATTAAATTTCAATCGATTCAATTCTTGTTATATGTTACAGAAACAATTGGGATTATTTAGTAAATCTCTTTGAAACTAGTGGATCAAATCGAAAAATGTTGAGAATTTCTTAGAGACTTTCCTGACCTACAATGAAAATATTTTTGCAACATAATCCAAATGCATTGTTGAGATTTGTGACGTATCTATTGTTTGTTTTTCCATCATATCCATTTAAAGAAATTTGGAATAGAATTAATGTCTGAAGAATAGTTGGTTTACCTTCGATTAGCCTCGACTTGACTCAGAGGAAATATATACTGAATCAACTGTTTGGCTGCTATTCTTATGATTTTTTTCAACTGCTGTCGCTTCCTGTCAACAGCCTCCTTCTGCTTCTCTTGTTTCATCTTAAGTCCATTTACGTATTTGTGCAATTTTTCCACCCTCTCCTCGTGCCTGGGGAGGCGAAGGACCAATTGGGAATTGGCGTCCTTCAGAACATTCAGTCGTTGATGACCTATTTGAATTTTCACACCAAATTAATTGGTATTGATTGATGGAAAATGCATTCAATTAATTTAACGGCTGTCTCCATCATCCGCGCAACGTTATCTAAACTGATTTTTTAATTCGATTTTTATCTCGACATTTCAATTCGGTGCCCCGACACTCAGGGACACCCCCAAACTCTGAATTTAGATTTTAAAAAAAGTAAAAACAATCTCAACATTTTGAAAGAGGGTTTTTCATTAATATTGAGGAATGATTTCAATAGAGGAGACATGAGTAATGTATAATTACCATGGTAAATGGCGGCCCATCAGTCGCCACCCTGGGGGAGGAAAGACAAAATAATAAATCCTTTGGCACACCGCAACAAGACGATTGTACGAAAAAAGGCTGTTTGAAAAAATTTGTAACATCTTTAAGAATTTTTTGATCACACTTTTACGATGAATTACTAATCACTTACGCCAATCTACTCCATTGATAATTGTACTGGCGATCAGCTGTCACTTGTGCCGGGAATTTAAAATAGGAAAATCGCTCTTTCTTCCTTTCTTTGCGCCCCCGACAAAAGTGACGGTTGATGGACAGTACAATTTTCAATTGAGGAGATTAGTGTAAGTGATTAGTAGTTCATCGTAAAAGTGTGATAAAAAATTCTTTAAAATATTACAAAATTTTTCAAAGCGTCTTTTTTTGTACAATCGTCTGTGCTGTGCCAAAGGATTTATTATTTCGTCTTTCCTCCCCCCCTGGTGGCGACTGACAGCCCGCCATTTGCCACAGTAATTATACATTATTCATATCTCCGCTATTGAACTCATTTCTCAGTATTAATTACAAACGCCCTTTCAAAATGTTCAGAATTTTTTTTACTTTTTTTACTTTTTCAATCCAAATTCATAATTTTCGGGTCTCTCTGAGTGACGGTACATCGAGTTGAAATTTCGAGATAAAAATCGAACAAAAATACTATCTAGATAAGGTTCGGCAGATAATGGAGCTGGGCCTTAATTACTCAATTTCATGATCAATCAATTTCTTGATCACTCAATATTCAATTGGGAAATTACCTCTAGATAGACTCTGCTTCGTTTCATTAACTAAAGTGTGCAAAAGTTTAACTCTCTCTTTACACATATTAATATCACATATCTGTAAAAATAAAACAGTATATTATTAAAGAAGTAAAGCAATGTGCGGTGTCGATTGTTTTATTTCGTTGAATATTAATCATCTCGAGGGTGATTGGTTTCAGGAGAAAATGCTAGGGGCTTTTTTCCGTTGCAGATTCTCTCAGCTGCAAAAGATGATCGACACACCCAGAAAAATGATTTATTTGAATCAAATAGAGTTTATTTGAATCAAATGAATAAGTTTACTTAAATAGTACGAAATAGAACGTTTTTTCAAATTGAAAACAAATTTTTATTTGAAGTTTTATTTATATTAAATAAATTCTCTGTTGATATCAAACAGAGATTTTTCTTATTTTAAGAAAATTTCTTTATTTGAGATCCATAAATAGTGTATTTGATTCAAATAAACAATTTATTTAAATTGAATACATTTTTTTCTAGGATTACATAGAAGTTTTATTTGAAATAAATAAATTCTTTTTTTGATACAATTAAATTATTTTTATTGAAACAACTAGACAAGTTTATTCATTTGTAATAACTACTTCTTTGAAATAAGAAAAAACAATTCAAATAAAGATTTCTATTTGATTCAAATCATGAATAACTAATAAACAAATATTAATTATTTACCAGCTTATCCTTCTGCCTGTGTTTCTCAAATGCCTTGGCCCATTTCTCCTCAAGTTGAGACCTTGCTGCCTTCAACCGTAACAACCGTAACTGTTTATCCGCAAACCTATCAACACCAACAACATAATCGGATTATCAAATCAGTCAATGCAATAATTAAGGGCGACTTGAACAGACAATTGAAACAATAAAAATTCAGAGAATACAAAAATCATCTTCAAAATGATGAGAAACTCATGAGTTCACTGAGAGAAAAACAAACACGTTGTCAAACAAGTCTTGTTTGGGCCAACAAAATCGCTAGTTGAAAATTGCCAAAACAGAATTTGTTTGGTTCGAATTTGAAAGTATCAAACATGAATAATTGCTCTGCTTTCGACAGCAAAGCAGAAAAAATTTATGTAAAATTTTATGTATAGAAATAATTCGTTTAGAAACATCCGAGTATCATATATAGAAAACCTGTAGAATTTCTGTACGCAATTCGTATTGAAAATTTCTATACGATTTTTTCATACATGTTGATCTGATTTCCCCCCTCAAAACGCAAATTTTGAAAACTCGAAAATAATTTCTACAACAATGACAAACTCATAAACGTTCTATTACAGACGTAAAGTGAACAGAAATTTATAAATATCCTAACAAAAATATCTAACAAAAATTCGAAATCTTCAAAATCATCTTGAAACCAAGCAAAGAATAAAACCAAAATATGTAATAAAAAATTCATAAAAAATTCATCAATTCGCTCAAGAAATCGCCTAAACATTACTGTCACCCTCCCCCCTCACTGCAAAAAAATTGAAAACCTCAAAACGATGGAAAACATGAAAACAACTCACTCAATTCAATTTAATCATCAGGAGATTGAAAACTAAAATTATAAATTAACTTCACAGAGTGATCAAAAGTATGATGCGTAATCGAAATTCATGAAACTGTCATTAATTAAATTTGGGCAATTAAAAAATTTACAAATGTTCTTCAAAATGATCAGAAACTTAAAATTAAACATTAATCACAAATCTCATCCATTGCCTTCAATCCCCGAAAAATGGTTCAAAAATCCTCAAAATATCGCT